CCATAGGTTGTTTAGAGGTTTGACCTGTTAGTCATTAGATTTAGGATTGCCTGCTATAAATACTGGATTTATGAATCCTGACTGTTATCCTTTCCTTTTCTTTCCTTTCCTTTCCTTTCCTTTCCTTTCCTTTTTTCATTTCTTTTTTATTTTCGTTTATTTTCCTTTTTCTTTTCTTTTCTTTTCTTTTCTTAAGGGGTCGTGCAAGTTACATGAACTGTGTTTAATCGTTTCACGATTTAGCAATAATTTGTCCAATCAATAAAATAGTTATTAAATAAATTACACTACCTACTGAGTTAGTAACAGCTTCGTTCTTTCCGATAGTAAAATGTAACATCACTAAAGAACACGTTTACATTTCCTTTTTTTTTTTTTCTAATTTAGAAGAAAGTATTTTTATCAAGACATATATCTAACAGTTTAGTAAAGATGCAAATATATTTTCTTTAAGTTTGAGCGCGAGCATGAGCCTAATTACTTTTAGCACATGTTTCGCAGCTTAGAGGCACATGCTGATACATTATTTCAGCCCACGCAACGTAACGGTCCCTTGAGAAGTTACTGGATGCAGTCAACTTCTGAATTGAACCTATATTGAATCTATAAAGGTTGGCATTAAACCACAAAAGGGAAGAAAAGACAGATCCTTACTGTATGCAATTCAGGACAAATAATGAATGGACTTAAAAGTTATTCACCAGCAGTTGTGAGTTTAGGTTTGTGCCGTGCATATTACAGCTTAAAATTAACTATCCTAATCCGACCAAATGTCATTCAATTGACGATCCCTTCACTGCTCCGCCTAAAACCCCCTCATTAGACTTGTCCAAGGATTACTTTGTACTTATATATCTGCATGGAACACATTAATAAATTATTTACAGGGCTACATTACATGTCAATGAATAGATGTCAATGAATAGATGTCAATGAATAGATGTCATTTCATACTTTTTCTTGACAAAAAAAAAAAAAAAAAAAAAAAAAAAAAAAAAAAAAAAAAAAAAAGGAAACAAGTATTATGTAGCTAATTTATTGGGAGAAAAGAAAAGCCTCAGTTTTATCTATCTTTTGTATTTATTTTATTAGTCATTATGTAGTATTAGAGAGCTCCGGTGTTATAGAAATGCCTTGTTTTAAAAGTCTGAGCTTTTGGCCTGAAAAATTTACCAGAGAGGAGGAATATATTGAAAAAAAAGAAGAAGAAAAAAAGAATATAGGGAAAAAAGGAAAAGGGAAAGGAACGGACGTCTTTTTATTATAATTGAATATTTGCAGTATAATATAAATTTTTCCTATCTGAATTTTACTACTGTAATATCCATCAATATACCTGTATCATGTCATATATATTATTTAATATTATGTTTTATTTAAGTTATATAGGGTTATAGAGCCTCTGGGGATAAAATTTTTTCATTGTTGTAAATAAAATTGATAATGAGTGATCGCCTACTTTAAAATGATTAAAGACTTTTTTTCAAATGAAAACTCTTGACTAGTGTTCTCACCACATAACGATATATAATAGAACATAAAACACGTAATTTTGCCGTTTATACCGGGCCGATGCTAAAAGCAGATTTTTAAAACTATCGGAATGAACGTAGTGCAAACTACTAGCAATTGCGCATGCAACACAGGACACGCAGATATTAAATACGGCTGATTCATAACTAGACTTAACTAGTAACAGGGGACATTCTTAGGCATGCTTCTTTATGGTCAAAAGGCTAGTTTAACCTGTAGGCGAAACTTTTAGCTTCACAGTCGTGGTACGAAACGAATAAACTTGTAAGGTAATTTATGTTGGATTTAGTTCTTTCCTGAAAAGTGGCAGACACGTTCACCCGATAAACAGGTATCCAGAGGGTGCCAATGAAGTCAGTAGTTAACTGACAATTAACCCTAAGATTAGTAGTTAACATTTAACTGTCATTACATTACTTTGTTACTAAATACTATGGCAAGTGCTCGTACAAGTATTACAGTTAATTGACATTCGGCCGAAAAAATTAGTAGTTAACCAACAAATGGATACTTCCATTGGCAGGCTCTTCTCAGGTTGATGTAAAGGTCACACCACACGAGTATAGTGATGCTTTGAAAAATACCATGTTGTTCGTGCAAAACAAAAACACTTCGATACCAGCAGCTGTCATACAAATCATCACTCCATTCTTTTCTTCAGAAAGTGAAATATCGATTCATCAATCAGTTGGTATTCAGTTTATCAGTAATAAGACAGGTATTCATATGTCTTACATTTAATTTTAGAACAAACAAACTCCTTTTGTGGGTATTGACATGCAAAAGAGACACCAGTTGAATGAACTTTGAAAAGCACAACTTTAACGCGCCAATGACGTTATGTAAATTATCCAAATTTGAATACAAGTTGTAAATATAAACGGTCAACGGTTCAAGCTGAACTCAAACGTGCTGCATGCTCGGCTTAACGGCTATTGGTCACATTCTTTGCATTAAAGGTATGTATGTATGTGTTAGGGAGAAAAGTGTATTTGGAAATAGAAAACTGAGTCGACACCCGCCTATTTATGACCTTATAATGAAACCAAAAGTCAAAACCTCGTTTGTTCAGTATCGGAATTAACCTAAGTAAGCGCTGTCTGAAACAATCCTTTCACCACGTCTATACATGGCTTTGGGACTGAATCTTATCCAAGACGCGGATAGTGARCTTTAGTGTCTGACGTACAACTTCATACTATATTTCATGCCATGTCTTCAAGTAAAGCTACGGTAAAACGGGATTCGTTCAAGATCATCCTGAGTATAGAGCGCCCAAACTTTGTTTGTTTTAAAAATTTTCAAACTAAAACATCGTGGTACGTAGTGTAGCGTAGGGTGTTAATGCCCTGCGAAAATTGGACACGTGCAAAAAAAAAAGATGCTTATCGTTACACTTTCCAATGATCTAGAACATATTAGCTATAAACTTCCAATTCCCAATGTCGTGGTAATAGTTAAGTCTACAAAATGTTTGTACTTATTGAGTATGTTTTTACGATAGAAAACGTTAGAAGGATATGATAAAAAGTTTAATAGGCCATACAATGAGGTCACCAGTAGCTTTGAAAAAAGAAAGCAATCAKTAAGTTCTGACATGCATGATTTAAAAGATAAGTCTAGTCTGTCTAGTTGTCTACTGAGTGGTTTAATCTTGACAACTCAATCAACATAAATAGCAGTATTACGAGCTTGAAAATGAACTTGTAAAGCGTTTTGCTAAAAACTCTGACTGAAGGGTGTAATTACCACGCGAAGCGTTGTACAGAACGCATTTCATCCCTGGTAGTGATAATACGAGTACAAAACTGGGCAAAGTTGTTGGGAGAAAAAAAACAATATAGATCAGTTTAAGAAAACAGTCAACTAAGACAGACGAACAGATCTCTGTCTAAATATTATGATTTTCTTTAAACTTTTGTTTAGTTAACATAACCGACATCAACTTAACTCTCATAGTTGATGTCTGTTAAATCTATCGTGTGGCGTCACGCGTGCTACTCTTTACTCGCTGTATGCTCTGCTGGACTCAAACACTGAACGAAAAAGAAAAACTATAGGAGGAGGATAAATTTAATTTTATAATGGATTAAAAAAAAACCGGAAGTTATTATTATTTAAACAGTTTGAATCGCGAGAAGGTAAGTTGAACGCGAAACACATGCACTAGATAGAAAAAGGAGATGAAATGAAGATTGCAGATTAGAATTAAATTTCAATTTAATCATAAGATATAAGCTGTAATTTTATTGAAGTGTTTTTTTGTTTTTTTTTGTTTTGTTTTTTTGTTTTTTTGTTTTTTCTGCCCCTGGCCTATTTACTGCAGACGTACCTGATCCGAAAGGACTGATAACTGTCTTCACAGAAAAGCTACTCCGATGGGTCTGCAAACAGTCGCTTTTCTTGCTGCACTCGTCGTAGCAACATTAACTTTGGCATCAGGTAGGTCCATTTCTATGCAAGGTGTTCACCTGTGTATTAGAAAGTATAAAGCTTTTGTTATGAATGAGGCTTCAGAAACGGTGCTTCTTTTATATCGTTTGGCAGTGCATTGCAGAAAAATCAACGATCAAAATTCCTTTCATAAATAAAACCCGCAACATGTAACCTTCACAAACCTTCAAGTATCAACTTCATGTGTATAATCAGTTTTAGCACTTGTTTCTTGGTCAATGTTTACAAACACTGCATTTCAGTTTATTCAGTAGTTAACTCGTTCATTTGTCGTTGAAGAAGATTTATTCCGGATTGTAGTACAGTAATCTGATTTTAGACAAAAAGATCCGACAGCCTGAAGCTATTAAAACCAGGGGAAAATATTTACTTTAATCCTAGAAATTTTCATTGAAAAAAGCTCTCAAAAACGTGCTAAAACCTTCAGAAAATTTATACATTTTTTTTTTTGTTATGCGAATTTTGTTTTGTAAGTTATCAAATATTCATACTAATAATAAAGCATGTCAAATATTTACTCTCTTAGCCTTTATTATACCATATCATTCAATAGAAATACATAACAATGTATTTGTACATTAAAATCGTTCATTCTAGCGTAAAGTAATTCATTTTGACACGCGCGGAAATTATCGTACTTCAAACCCAGTCACCTTTCTTGAATGACGGCATTTTAAATAAAATACAGAGTCCTTTTCATATTTTTTTATAATTAGAATTTGAATCAATTGGTAGGACACTTTGACAGCTGGACAAATTTTGAGGCTTTATCATGTAGAAGCTTGTTCTGAATAGCTCGTTTAACTTTGAGAAATGCATAGCCAGCTGGTCTGGATCTGACGAAGCATATCGAGGCATAAATCGCAGGTGGACGCGAACAAATAATAAAACGAGGAAAATGCAAAGAGCAGTTACAGTCTGTAGATTAGAAATGTATTAAATAAACTTCCTTGAGCTGCATTGGAGCTTATTAAAAATGAAGCCAGATAATCGAGGAATACAAAAAAACAGACTTTAACCCATTTACTGAAGCTTTGGATCGGTGCCTTTATAGGATAATAATCTTCTTTTTTGTGACAGATCAAGTCTTGATCGTTATTCAAATGGTTATTCAAATGGTAAAACAATTGAGGGAAAAAAACATGTTATTCAAATGGTAAACATATTGAGAAAAACCATATTTGTAACTTTAGCAGTGTTGCGGTTACTTGTCCCCCAAAAAATCCTATGAACTAATTACTTACTTACTTAATTGCTTTCTGTTCTTGCTTCCTTCCTTCCTTCCTTCCTTCCTTCCTTCCTTCCTTCCTTCCTTCCTTCCTCACTCTCTTTCCTTTTCCTTCATCGCCTCTCAGGAAAGCCGCCTTTTCCCAAACCTTCCAGCGAAGTGTTTGATGACCTGTTGGCGAGGAAAATCCAAGGTAGGAGAATTAGCCTGTTACATCTTTTATCAAACTCTGAAACAACCTCTATGCTGCTGATCAACTGGTCAGGGCACGGCTGACTCATACATATCGAACCCTGAAACGACCTCTGGGCTGATCTAAGTTAGGGTATGGCTAACTCACCAATAAAACCCTGAAACAACCTTTGGGCTGATCCAAGTCAGGCACGCCTAACTTATAAATCGAACCCTAAAACGATCCGCTGGGGTGATCCAAGTCAGGCACGCCTAACTTGCAAATTGAATTGGAATTTTAGTGTAATGGGAATTGTGAATAAATAAAAACGGGACAAACCAAACCTAACAAACTTGTACTCACATACATGCGATGCGAGATCYATGAATCGAACCTGATTTGAGTCCCAAAGGTGAGAGGCAAGTGCGCTTCTGCTTAAGTTTCAAGCGTAACGAATAAGAATCTATATGAAGACGATGTTTAATATTTTTGACGCTTTTTTTTTTTTGAAAAATTTTTTGGCATGTATATTTTTAACATAATTGGTATCTTCTTTTTTTCTTTTTTGACACTTTCAAGGCATTTTTCAATTTTTTGTATAATATAAAGCTGATATTTTCTGTAATTCGTTTTCAATAGAGAACGCAAAGAGAGGAGGGAACGTTCATGGGCACATTGTTGCAGTCAATGATGCTTCTCGCCTGATAAAAAGTCAAGACAGCGATGACGATATACCGCTGACCGAAGACATCGAAGAGGCCAACGAAGGTTCGTGATGTTACGTCATTCAATTTTCAATTCAAAATGGAACTATTTGGTATTTCTAAAATACTACTGTCATGTGTCTCGATTTCAGACTCATTTATCAGGTTTATTAGCCTTACTACAGTGTCGATATATTTACGAATAACAACCGTAAAGTGCACAACACTGAGCGAATAATACAAACACTTTGAAATGTTATGGACCTTCACTTTAACACGTGAATATAGTAGATGCACAAATCGATCGAGGCTGAAGCTGAGCAACAAAGAAATCGAAACTGGATGAAGTATTATTACAAACTTAGGACATGCCCGTTTATTTGAGCTTGTGACCAAAGCGCACAGCGGTATTCAGATTGAGCTAGACGCTTACGATATATTTAGGCAATGAAGCCTCAACTTTCAACTATGCTTACATGATATACGTATGATTTCTTGTTACAGAAGCCAATGTTGATTTGTTTGAGGGTGACATACTTCTGCCTGATGACGAAGACAAGGAGGAAGAGGATGACATGAGCCAATCGGAAGGCAGCAAGCGAAATATCATCAAAAACAAGAACAGATTATGGTCAACAGTGGTTCCTTATTACGTATCACCAAAGTTGGGTGAGTTAGTTAATTAATATGATAATAATTTAAATTTTCCATTGCGCATGTTCCACTGGGAGATGCCCACTGGGGCATTAGAAACCTGATCTATTACTGGCTCACAATGTGTGATAAAATATTATCTGATCTGAATAATAATAGTCAAATTTCTGGATTCTAATGTATAAATGATCTGATAATAATGAAAACAAGAATAATTATTTAACAATTATTCGCCGACGGCGAAGTGATTATCGGTGGAATATCCACTGAGCCTGAGGTGATTATCGTGTCAGAATCACCGGTCGCTCGACCAATCACAGCTCGAGAAAGTCTCTATTCAAGTCTAAAATTATATCTAAAATAATATATAAAGACTTTATAATAAACACCAGCGACATGCGCAGACCTAGACGCCCCATCATTTCCGAAACTATGGAGAACACGTTATTCTGTTAAGACTCCTCTTAGTTGCTCGTCAACTTTCAAACCGTTTGCGCTTTACCAAAAGTCCTATTTCTCATTTGGTAAAATATCACTGAACTGTCCTTGAGTACAGACTCATTTATACAAGTTTTGCGTCGATAAGAAGTCAGCGCTATTCATGAAGAGTTCCCGTCCAAGGATCTAAACAAATTAAAGACGACCCTGTTACACGTTATAACTTTTAACTGAAACTTGTGTGCAGCGGCATGGTGAGATGATAAGTTTTATGGGGGTGATATAAGGCGCAATTTAGATTTTGTGAAACTTGTGTTGCGATAAAGTTTCACGAAAAATAAAACTGCTTTCTTCTCGAGCAAGCAAAACTTGTGTCGCGAACGAGTTTCAGTACGAAATTTCGCCGTGTAACACCCTGGTGAAACGCGTCTCGCAACGCCATTGCAAGCATGTTTCAGCTATAAGTTTCAACGTGTAACAGGGCCTTAAGTTGCACATTATTTACACTGTAGTTACGGTTACAGTTGACTTTTGTGAATGATCTTAATTACAAGGTTAAACCTGTATAAATGAGTTTGCTGTCATTGAATACAGCGGTATGTTTACCAAATTCAAAAAGGATCGACTATGACAGCCGCTGACTTGCTTAATCATATCTTTTCAGGCTACATGAACGCAAAGATCAAGCAAGCAGTGAATGAGCTCCAGACAAAAACATGTGTTCGTTTTAAAAAGGTCTCGAGTGGTTATAACGGGGATCACATTCGTTTGGTCAAAGGTCGTGGGTAGGTACCATTCCTCTCCGGTAGATATTTACCGTCCTTTTCTTTACGAGGGTAGCACTTAATAGAGTGACAAACAAACCTGTGGCCCTCGTTCCGTTTTCTGATCGAATTGGAACTTAGGAGTTGTAGAGGGGGGAAAACCGGAGAACCCGGAGAAGGCGTAGCTCAGTTGGTTAGTGCGCGACCTTCAGAGCTTGAGCTCCACGATTCGATCCTTTAGGATCTCCACGTCTGTTTCGACCTCTCTCTAATCCGTGTAGCTTCAGCTTTGAATACTCTTAAAAAACAGAGCACTGATGGAGAGAGGGGGTAAAGTGCGCACCCTCGGCTTCCATTGATAGCAGTTGAATTTCAACTGAAGTAACTATACCGACGTTAAATATAGGTACTTTACCTTTTTAACCCTCAGAATCAACAAACTCTTTTCACATACAACACCGAACACAGCGGGCTCGGCTTGATGTTTAAAAAGGTTTTTCATATCAGATCATGCTGTTATCCTGAACCCTCCCTTCTCCTGACTACTATGTCGATCATCTTATTCCTCCAGTGCTCAAAGGCCGTGGGTAATAAAATTGGTACCATTCCTATTATTGGGCCGAATGCATGTTAAGTCATAGCCGCCATCTTGATTGACGATAATCTCAACAAGAGATCTTAAGTCATGTGGTTGCACCTCAAGAATAGTATAGATGTTAGGACAACGATACGGGGAACCGTTATTGATATGGCACCTTTTTGTTTACCAAACTATTCCTTACACTATGATAATCAACTTTCATAAATCGTACCTTTGATTTCAACCCGTCAGTTGTTCATCAAGTGTCGGACGTCAAGGAGGAGGTCAGAAGTTGAACCTTGGAGCAGGCTGTAATTATGCTGGGGTGGTAATCCACGAGATAATGCACTCGCTCGGTAAGTTACTTTACTCTTATCAGTGCAGGATCAATTTTTCATCTTTCTGTCTTTCTAGCCTAGCTAATCAAAGTTTGGATGATGTTTGACAATTGAAAACTAGCTAGCTTAAAACATAACCTGAGTACCGGTACATCTTACAGCGCCACGCACAAAAGTATGACCACTTTTTATGTATTCCCATACTTTTATACACCGAATCGAAAAATGGCGACCAATTTGAATTTGTTCTGCACTGACTAGAGACTGACTAGCCTCATGTTGACGTGGAAACATAAAAGCGTTTTCACATGTATGAGAAGCTAGTCAGTCCTGCTAAACGAGCTTTTACAAGCCTTATTTGGCAAATCCAGTCAGCTTAGCTTTGCAAACAAATGTGTCGTTTTATCAAAAACATTAAAAGCCCATGCATAAAATTATGCGAATACATTCAAGTGATCACCGGTTATACTTTTGTATGCGAACTGTAACTGTCAAACGCAGTTTGTGGTAACACTGCAGAAGGGCCGAAGACCGACGTCTGTACAATATACATTGACACTTAACATACTACATAAGTTTACTCCCGCGGGAGTTTACTGTTTCAAGTTAAATCAAAGTTTGTCTATTTTGACGATATTTTAAGGGGTTTGGCATGAGCAAAGTCGACAGGACAGAGACAAGTATGTGGAGGTTCTATGGAACAACATCAAACGAGGTAAAAAAATTCAAACAAATTTGTCTTTCCGTGTGGTTGAGCGGAAGGCTTCGAACACATTCCCCATGTTTATCTTATACTGATCATGAGGTTTATTAAAATTCAATATATGAAACCTAGCGTCTGCAAACCGCAATTACAGTAATTACAGCAATTACTTTCTAATCTGAAAACTAGAAGAAAGGTTAAAAGAGAAAGGGTGTTCCACAGAAATCTATTTAGGACCACCCAARGCATACCGCCGTACCATCACCCTGTTAGATTACTAATGATACTATGGAAATACTTTGGAAGTCTTGGAAGTCGCGACTTCCATTATTTTTTCATTACCATGGAAATATGATGGAAGTCGGACATACGGGTGTGTAAGAATTTTAAGTTCTCGCGTCGCGGTTTCAATTTCATGGAAATAATTTGGGCTTCCAAGACACTGAGTCATAAGCACGTAATGAGGGAGATTAATATCGGGATGGGTGACCTGTAGTTACCCCCACCCCTTCCCCCCTCCCCTCTTCCTCTTCCTCTTCCTCTTCTAAACAAAAAAGTCTCATAAATTACTTATTTTTGAACGGGGAAAAAACGAAGAGAGATAGGCAATATTGCTAGTTAATTCCAAATGATATAGTACACAGTAATTTTTTGTCATAGCTATTTTATATTTATTTAATCCCGCTCGTTAGTTTACCAATAATAGTGTGGATTCAAACTATTGTCATTGTCTGAACATTCTTTTACTTTCGATGAGTCAGAGACCTAAAAGATTGTCTCGACGAAAAATATATAAAACGAGTACAGGTCTTTTGAACTTACATTTTCAAACATATTTTCTATCATGTTTGCATTCACATCACCGATAGTGCAACGTGCAACAAGATGTTCACTGAATTTTTTTTTAGAATAGCTGTATATCTTCGGCGCTGCATTTACAAGGGCTCACTAAAAATACTATCGAAATTTGGGGATTATTGACCTTCGTTTTCATATTCTTTTCTCAATCCTTTGCTTATTTATTTTCTAGGCCGAAGCAAGAACTTTAGAAAGTACAGTCACGGTATGTTGGATACCCTGAACCTACCATACGACACCTCTTCCATCATGCATTATGATCGGTTCTTGTTTTCCATTGATCCTGGGAGGAAACCCACGATTATCGCACGAGGAATGCCGTGGAAGAAACTTGGAGGACAACTAAGAGGGACGCTGACAGCAAACGATGTCTCCGAGATCAACAGCCTTTTTAAGTGTACTTGAATTTTGTGAGCTGTTCTGAACGGGCGATCAAGATTAGACGGTGTGAGTACTGGACAATGATTTTTGAACACAGATCAAATATCAGCTTTTTTTTTACCGATTTTAATTGATGTGTATTTCATTGGCAAGCGCGGAATCGGCGTGAAGAATTGATAGACGCAGAGCGAACCCACGCAGTGCCTTCCAGACTCAGTAAAAACGAGTGTTTTGGRATTTCTGTGGACGCGCGTGGAGATTGGAGCCGAGTAAGCAGCAGAGTAAGCGAAGTAGAGAGAGGAAAATTAGCGGCCTACTTTTCCTCTTTCTTCTCCTTTCTTACTCGGCTCCAAACTACGCGCGTCCAAGAGAATCCCAAAAGACTCGCCCTTGCTGAGTTTGGATGGAATAGTGGGACCGCTCGCAGTTTAGGAATCGAAGGTTCTAAAAATCTTGTTTTCTTCAGGCAATGTCATACATGGAAACACATTCATTGACGTCCACCAAAAGTCTATTTTTTGTGTCTCTACAGTAAACTGTAATATACAATGCGTACTAGCTGTAAACATGTTTACCCCAAACGCCACGACGAGCACAA